TCCAGGCCTGGCTTGGCCTGACCTGTAGTCGACACCAGGAAGTGGCAATGGTGTTGTCCCGCAGATCCGGGCGCCTCCTTTATCAGCCCCTGTTCTCCCTCACAGGATGGGGCTCTGGAGTCCTGTGGCTTTCTGAACTGAGCCTGTGGTTTTATCTAAAACAAACACTGGCCTGGCCCTGGTGGAGACTCTGCGACTCACATGCTCCTGGCCAGACAATACCATGGTAATCAGAGAGACTGGAATTCCCAGGCACCCCATCTCTGCAGCCCACCTCAGTCCCTGCCTGCTTGCCTGGGCGTTTGCTTCCTAGCCCCAGCAGTGATGTAGCAAAGGGTGTTCCAAGAAAAATTCCCAGAGGAAAAAAGAGGACTGATTAAACGGTGTGCTGTCTTTTCTCTCCGGGACTTTTCGGGAAGTGACTAGAAATTTATGGAACGTGGGGTCCCTGGAAGTTCCTAGGCAGTTGGGAAACTCTGTTGTTGGGTCCCATGCTGCCAAATGATTTCCATGCCACTGAAGCCCTAGGAGTGTACCTTTCTCCAGAACGTTCCCCTGGCTTCCACATCCCAGTCAGCAGCAGCTTGTACACAGGCTGAGGAAGCCTGGCTCAGTGCTCAACTCTTTCTTTGAATTCCAAGTGTTTCCTGCTCCTTCTCTGCCACCTTCTGGCTTACCTGATCTTTCACAGTACCTCTCGTGGCCATCTTTTGTGTGTTTGTGTGTACATGTGTGTAAGTGTGCGTGTGGAGGCCAGAAGTCAATGCCACGTGTCTTCCTCCATCACTCTACACCTTTTTTTTTTTTTTGAAGCAGGGCCTCACTGAACCTGGAGCTCATTGATTCTGCTAAGCTGGCCGGCCAGTGATCTACAAGGATCCTCCTGTCTCTGTGCCACCCCCATCCCTGCTGCCCCTGAGAACTGAGGTTTCAAGTGTATGTAGCCACACCCAGCTTTCACATGGGTGCTAGCAATCCAAATTAGGATCCTCATGTTTGCATTGCAAGGCACTTTACCAACTGAGCCAATTCCCCAGCCCCATGTGGCTATCTTGAGTCCGTTCCTATCCACCTGGGGCCCATACATCCTGCCTCCTGCCTCCCTTCCATGGAAATCTCAGCCTGTCAGTGGCCTCAGCGCCCTCTCCTCCCCTAGATTTGATGTTCTGCCTTATTCAGTGTGAGCACTGAGTGCGGCTTTTCCAGAGCATGCGACTGAGGGCCTACTGTGTGCCTGGTCCTAGGGACACAGAGATGACTAAGATACAGAACATGGGGTAGAGACAGGCCAGGCACAGCCTCTGCTCACGCATCTCGTAAGCCTCATCCTTCAGCCTGCAGCTAGACCAGGGTTTCCTCCTGCCGTCCTCTCCTGGATGCCTGCAGTTTTCCTTCCCGTTCTATCCCTGTGTGCAGTTAGATGTTCCTGCCACTGTTTGGTGGCTGTCCCCCTCCCCACTGGGCTGCAGGCTTCATGTGGACAGGGCTGTGCATCGTCTACACCCAGCCTGGCAGTTACCAACCCTGGGACTTTAATACCAGCTGTGGGAGAGCCATAAGCTTGGGCACAGTTTGTTTCAGGAACTTTGGACTAGGTGGCAAGCCTTGCTCAGGCAGGCGTGTTCTCTCTCTCTCCCTCTCCCTCTCTCTCTCCCCCTCCCTCCCTCCCTCCCTCCCTCTCTCCCGTCTCCACATGCCAGGGAAAGGGAGTCAGGTGACCTCAAGCCAGAACTCAGAACATCCAGGCTGTCCCTCAGGAACCTTTCTTTGGGTCTCTTATCTCAGTGGCCTTGGGGCCCTGAGGGAGGCAGATGCCAGGCCCATTCTTGAGTCATTGCACTAAGCGCCTTCCCAGACACTGACCCTGGCCTCTCAGGGTCATGACCAGAGCCAGGTGTGGATGGTGAGAGAAAGTACCTGTGGCCTGACCAGTGTTGATGGCTCTCCTTTCCCTTCCAAGAGCCTATCTGCCTGGACATGTTGCCATAGAGATGAGGCCCAGGGTGTGTGGAGCTCCCCCTTCACATCCCTGCTCTGCCTCCTGAGTCTGAGCCCTTGGGTTCTCCTGTTTCCACTGTCTACTGGAGGCCTTATCTCATTGTTCCCTGAGGCCCTGGGAGACACACAGGTGTAGCCCATAGTCTGCATGGCTGTGTGTGCCCTCCATAGCCCCTGGTCATTCATTCATTCTCTCTCTCTCTCTCTCTTTCTCTCTCTCTCTCTCTCTCTCTCTCTCTCTCTCTCTCTCTCTCTCTCTCTCTCTCCGCACTCTCCCCCTCGCTCTCCCCTCCTAACACCCCCAGTCTGCACATACAC